AGAGGTGACAAGACTGTATTATTTTATCAAACGTGTAATGAAAATTGAGAGAAAATGAATAAAACTTAGTCTTGTGAATATTAAATATGCAATTCAATTTAGAACGGATGGAGTATGTATGTATGTATGTATGTATTATTATTATTATTATTATTATTATTATTATTATTATTATTATTATTATTATTATTATTATTGGTTTTATGTTTTAGATCTTTTCATCTTGCTGTTTGTCATACTCCGTAGCATATTACTCCAAATGACCTTTATTCGGTCCAGGTACTGTACATTTCAGATACGCTTTGGGAGTGAATATTATTTTAGTAGCAAGTAATTACTCATTACCATCAGTCTTCTAATCCTATATAACATACTCCCTCCGTCCCATAAAACATTTCCTGTTTAAAAAATGGCACGCTTTTAAAATGAGTAATTTTAGTGTTATTTTTTAATTATGACTAATCTATTCTACACATCTCATACTACTCTTTTAAGAAGTAAGGGCAAAATTAGAAAATAACACCAAAATTACTCATTTTAAGAGTGCGTCTTTTTTGAAATAGGAAATGTTTTATGGGACGGAGGGAGTATATAGCACCAAAAGGATAATGGAATAAAATCCTTTTTACACCTTGTACACCATATTATTTGACTATTTAATGTAATAACTATTTAATGTTTTCTATATACTTATTACGAGTATTATTTATTTTGAAACGTTCAAAGTTTTGCTTAATTTGTCACTTGCCACAAGATACCAATTTAAATATTTTGTACAATTAAACAACTTATAATGTGTATTGTATCTAAAGCATTCCATTCTGCTCTCAAGTTTGGCTTGTTGTTTAATGCAACGAGCACAATTTTGGAGCAGAATGTAATGCTTTAGATCGAATATACCTTGTGATTAAAATCCTATCATTCCTTTATATTTTGATGATGTATGAGTTGTTTAATATTCATAAGGGGACATATAAATATAAATATATATATATATATATATATATATATATATATATATATATATATATATATATATATATATATATATATTCTTTTAACATATTGTTAATTAAGAGAGTTGTATGCTTGACATATAAATTACTCACACTGTCCCAAAAAAATTCCATATTTCCTTTTTGAGTTGCTCACAATTTTTCACTCTCCTCAACAACATTTTTAGGCACATTTTTACTATTTTTTAATTTTGTGCCAAGCCAAATTAAGAGTCTTTGTTTGGGACGGAGGGAGTAGTTGACAAAAGTTATAAAGAAGGTTGGGATTACATTTTGGTACACCTTTTGGGTTTTGAAATGCTTTTCTCTCTTAGCTCACAAGAACTTTTGAATTTCAAATATTTTTAGAGAGTAATATTATTTATTCATAGTTATGGTCAGGGCCGGCCCAATAGGGGGACAAAGTGTCCGTCCGGGCCGGGCCCAAATATATAAGGGGCACAAATTTTTTTTTTTTAGTATTATATACATATAAAAGCAGCCCGTCACATTTAAGGCCCAAGCCCAGTCCACAACTCCTAATTCTCCTAGTCCTTAGCCGCAAAGAAAGAACCGAAGGAAGATGCAGATTCACGGGATTGCCGATTTGGGAAGAAGCCGAAGAAGAACACGATTCACGAAAGACGACGTTACGACGCCGCCGCACGCCGTCACGCCGACCCCCAGCCTCTAGGTATTCCATATTCATAGCTTTCTAATTTTGTAATTTTTATTTCTTAATTTTCTTTCATTATTTTATTTTTTAGATTTAAAATCTAGGGTTAATTATTAACTTTTAATTTGAAATCTTTTCTAATTTCATTCTTTAAAATAGAATGAATTAATAGTTCTATATGTTATTTATTTGATTTGGATGAATTGATTGAATTTGTTATTTATGATATATTTATATATAAAAAACTAAAAACTGAAAAAAAAAACTGAAAAATTGAAAAATTGATATGAATTTATGATTTATAAAAAAATTAAAACTGAAAAAGAAAAAAATAAAAAAAGAAAATTTGATGAATTGATATGAATTTATGATATATTTATTTATTTTCTTGCTTTTTCATATTTGATTTTACTAAGTAGTAGAATTTATGAATTTGGATTTTATTTCAGAAATAATTCAATAGCTATGGCTCCTAAACAATTCTCTGGAAGTCAAAAAAAGAGAAAACAAGATGAAGAAATGAGAAACTCTTAAGCCGGAACTCTATATAAGTTTATTAAACATGTTGTTGAAGACAAAGAAGTAGAAGTGAAAGAGATGGAAGAGCAAGAGCATCTACAAGTAAAGCAAGAATATGTTAAATTTGTTAGATCATTAGGGATAGGATTTTTAGGGCCTTTTTTATGTTTCGGCCCGGGCATATGAATTCTCGGGACCGGCCCTGGTTATGGTAAATATTGTAATTTATTAGTTTTTATTCTATATTTCTAGTTGTGTTAGGAGTCTCTTCTATTGATATTACCATCATGTACTTCAAAATTCAAACAACAATATTGTTATTCCAATATTCTAACACGGTATCTGTAAGAATATGTTTTAGGGTTTGATAGTTTTCCTATTCTTGTTATAGTAGAAATAGAATTATGATAGGAATAGAACTTACTTATTGTTTTATTCTTTTCTTATATAAAGAGGATTAATCTTTGTAATCTTCAAGACAATTCAATATAGAATTATTCTTCATTATTATTTTTTACAGAATCGGAGCCACCACTCTTAATGGCAAAAAATTCTTTGTCTTCCCTCCTGGTGGGTGCATGGCGCCGCCATTAGCCGCCCGTCGGGAGGCTGTACATCACAATTTGCACTACCCAAATACCAGTGCAAAATTTTATGAACGAAAGCCTTTGTACTTCCCACTCCGGGTTACATAGTACTAGTACTTACAAAAGCCAAAAACATTTATGACCGAGTGATACTTTGAATCATCTGAGTTTTCAAGAAAAAAACCAAGCGTGCTTCAATATCCTATTTCACAAATATTAGAAGAGAAAATTATCTAAATAGGACTACAACATAATGATTTTCTCAATATAGGATCATATGTTTTTATTTTTCAATGTAGGAATTTTGGTCATTATTAATTAGTCATTATTCAACTAAATGTCTATCATTATTGAACATTATTCCTCCCACTACTAGACATTATTAAGTCCTACTTAGGGAATAAAAAAGTTTTAAGTCCTACATCGGAAAATGACTTATGTTAGTCCTATTTAGTGCAAATTTCACATATTAGAACTATGCTTAGTTTGAGGATTTAGGAAAATAAAGAAAAAGAAAAGAAAGTTGAGACCATGTGTAGTGATTCAATTGGGGCATTTTCAGCCATGTGGCGATCATGTCAATAACACCATTTTAAACCAAAAATATGTATTGATTCATGCCTATTTCCATCCCTGATTCCGTAACCCAGAGCGTCAAAACATTTCCGTCGCCAATTTCCGTCACCCCCATTACGCATGGTCTCATCAACAAACAGAAAATCTAATTTTTGTTTGGTGAGTAGGGAAATCGTTAAGAAAATTACTTTTTCAATAACACGTTCGTTTTTATTGTTGCAGAGAAAAACAAAGGAAGACATTGTTGAGAAGAGGGGAGTAGGAGGGGGTGAGTGAGGGAGGAGCAATGACAGGACGAGGAAGGGGCAAGAGGGAGGAATTTGATGTTTTCCCCTTTTCCTTGGAAAAGTAGAAAATAGATTATTTAGACCTGTATTCGATTCCAGGCAACTGTGCTGGGGTGTAATTATATAAGTATAGAGTCTCTATAAGTACCAAGTACATGCCCCACTCTCTGCGATCAATTTGCAGTCAAGTTCTATTTTATTTTTTCTCATTGACCATTCGACTGATTCTAAAACAGTCCTTAGAGATGAGCTCATCCTTTTTTGGAAAGTAGATTCATTTTACCATTTTTACTTTACATTTTCCTTCCAATTACTTTCCTTATCATTTCCGACCAACCACTATTTGATCATCATTTTCTTTTCTTTTCTTTCAAATTCTTTGTAAAAAACAATCTATTGTATTGTTTCTAGCAGAAGAGTAATGGCTCCTTTAGGTTTTCTCTAGCCACTTTTGACTACGAATAATGGCTCCTTTAGGAATTCTATTAATTTAATTGATGATTAAATCTTGTAAAGTTTGACTCGAAAAGTTGTATTGGACGAATGATTTGTATAATGCTGCAATTTGAAGGAGTCATTCTAGAAAACCACTAAATTTAACACTAAGAGTTTGATATTAAGTGTTTCATAAAGTGTCAAACTTCTAATATCAAACTCTTGGTGTCAAACTTATTTTTGATATGATAAAGTGTTTAAATTTCAATACACCTTGGGGTTTTGAAACTTTTTGTCCCCATGTTAGCTAACAAGGAGTTTTAAATAATATCAAATGCTAATGTATGAGTTACAATAACAAACAATACTTTGTTACTTTGGTGGAAGAAAATCAGAAGGGACAGGTCAAGATGAAAAAAAGAGCAAAAGAGTTTTTGGAAGAAAAACACTCACAAACATTAAAAACCAATATGCTTTTTTAAAAGTTATTTAAAAAAATACTCCGTAGTATTTAAAATGTTATTGCCATTGAAGCAATTGTATTTAAAATTTTAATACCATATCACCATAGGTTATAAATTTGCCATTGAAGCAATTGTGGGGAGGGTAAAAAAGAAGCATCCCAATGAAAAGCTTCCTTAAAATGACCATATATCACTTACATGGGAAAAAGAAATTCAATGAACTATACTACTACTACTACTACTTACAAAAGCCATAACTACTTACATGAGTGAGTGATACTATGAACCATCTGGGTTTTCAACAAAACAACCAAGTGTCCTTCAAACAGAAAGGTAAACAAACAGAAACTCCTATTTTGGAAGGAGAAGAAAATGCTCATGAAAAGAAAAGAAAGGTAAACAAACAGAAACTCCTATTTTGTTTGGTTAGAAGGTAAATCGGTAAGGGAATTACATTTTCAATAACACCTTTGTTTTGATTGTTGAAGAAAAAACAAAGACATGGTTGCATGAACCCTTACCATTTTAAATAGGAGCTTAGGTTCTTGCTTTCATCTGAACACCTCAAATATCCATCAGAGCACGTAACATTTTCATAACTCTAAATGTATGTTAATAATATATCGGTATATACGCACACATTATTATTTTTTTGATGTATAAGTATTCAAGAAATAGTTAGAAACACTTGAGAAGAATTGTGTAGACAAACCTCCTCATAGTTCTTGACTTCAACTGATTCAGCCTCATCATTCACCTAAAGAAAAGAATAATTCATCCATATCATATTACAAGTCCCTTTTCAGATCACAAAGGTACACTAAAATACTTAACCATCCTGCAATTATATCACCATTAACAACAACAAACCAAGTAAACACCTAGAGGCTGCGGAGGGTGTGTGTATGCAAACATTACCCATACCTTATCCCGCAATTATATCAAACCGCAAAAACCAAATTTTAATGTGGTTAAAAGAACAAAATTAGAGAATGAAAGACAGTTGAGTGAAAATGGCACAAAAATTGCAAGAATTTACTTGGACAATACATGGAGAGCAGGAGAAACGATGAAAATAAGCACTCCGTAAAAGAAAAAATCAAACTGTGAAGGATGTGCAATTATGCATCTGTACCTTTGGCATATTATTCTCCTCTTCGATTAGGCCTTTTAAGTAAGCAGAATATATCTTCTCAGCTCGAAGCTCATAGGGTTGCCTCTCCTAAATGACAGAACAATACTACTCCGTAAACAATAAAAAATACATTAGACATTGTTTGGTTATACTTGAAAGTACATAAACACAACATGAAGACTACCATTTTAGACATGTTTCTCCAGGTCTCAAACCCTCTCCTATCAACATCAATTTCATCCCCATCAGGGCATGTCTTGGCAAACTCCTCCCTAATTGTCTCAAAGTATAAGACACATTAAAACAAAAGGTTTCAGCTTGTCAGGCATTACATCAAACATGTTATGGGCATCCAAATTGACAGAAAGAATTCAGAACATAACATGACCAGACAAAGGTTTACATGAATAACCGAAATGCGGATCTGGGTTGATCCTGAAACCTGGCGAAATCTTCACTGGTTTCAACCCGATATTCTTCTCCGGTTGCGCTCCGGAGTTGAGTTCTGGGCTTCTTGATGAGAACTCTTGTTGCTCCACATTCATGCATGTCAGCCAGAGAGATTGCCACTGAAAGGCCACAGCTTTCGCTGCAATACACAGAACCCATTTACCCAAACACCATCATCTCGAGTTAAATTCATTCACTGCATCATGTTCGAAAAAAGAAGATGACGAAGAAGGAGAAGAAGAACCATTGTTGGAAAGCACTTCCGTCGGGGCCACGACGAATGCGAATGGCGCGAACTCTTTTCCGGGGAAACCCCATTGAATTGCAGTGGCTTTAATTTGAACCTTTTGATTAGTTCTGTTGGTGAGGGAATGAATGCGAAATGGGAAATTGATTCCACTTCCATTAATGCATGCGCCGAAGTTGAAGAGCCCCTCCCCTGTAAAAGCTAACCTGCGCCAGAAAAAGTGAAATTTAAGCAAGTGAGCACCAAATCATAGTTGTTTTACCTAAATAACATCACTACTAATTTTTTCTCTCACTAGCACTAATTTTCATCCGCACTACCTAGCCTACCCTTACGTAACCTAAGCCCACTAAAAATCATGCCTTCTAATTTTTACTTATTTTTGGAAAACAAATCCTTAATTATCCCTAATTTTCAGGAATAAACTGATTGCCTACTCCACGATTCACTGCGATAAACTTCTTGCGGCTGCTCATCATGCGCCTACTCTTCATGCGCCTCAATCGCCACATTCACTACGATTACTGGCAAAATTAATCTCAATTTTATTCAAGCGCCTCAATCGCCACATTCTCTCCCGCCGGATTGATTACCCATTTCATTATCATGTTTTCTTTGTCGCTGAATTCGTTATCCATGCCGGCGCATCCAGCGCCATCCGTGTTTCATGTATTGGTGTGCCTAGATGGTGAATGGACAAGTGATGGCACATTCAATTCTAAAAGTTTTCATGAACTCATCATCTCGTTCGAGAGTTCTTTTCGAATGCTTATTGATGCCGTTCGTTCAGTACTTGGCCAAGTTAATGAGCATACTACTTTAAAGGTTAGTTTGTTAAACTTATGAAATTCTTTTAGAAATTATTGAGGGAGGAGATTTTTCTATTAGTGTTTATGAAGCTTTGTGTTCTTTTACTGAAAATTAATGTATTATAGTGGTTTAGTGTGTTGCATGTTTTGGGGTTTTTTTGAATGAGAATTAATAGACAGTGTAGAGGATTGTGGGATTAAGAGGGTGTTGTTGTTTGAATGTGCATATTATTAAAGATTAAGCATGATGGAGAGGTTTTGAGGGAATTGAAAACCTATTCAGTAGAAAGTGAGTCTAGTGTTTCCTTAGGGTGAGTATAGTGTTTTTTAATGGTCAGTGTAGTGTGAAATGAGCTTTTTTTATGGTGAGTATGGTGTTATATAATGGTCACTAGGAATTGTTATGCTCATGTTGGTTGGTCAGTGTGTTTTTTTAATTGTTCAGTATAATATGTAATGGTTACTATGAAGACTAAGGATAATTTAGAGGTCGGTTTTTAAAAACAGTGCAGTGTTGTGGGATTAAGAGGCCAGTGTTGTTTTATGTGCATAGTATTTAAGACAAAGGATAATTTAGAAGTTTTGAAGGAATTGAAAACCAATTCACTACCAAGTGTGTGTAGTGTATTCTTAGGATCAGTGTAGTGTGAAATGAGTTTCTTTTTTATGCTCTGCATAGTGTTCTATAATGGTCACTAGAAATTTCTATCTACATGTTGGTTGCAATAACAATTATTGTCAGTAGAAATTTTTAATGACCAGAGTAGACCAGTAGTGCAGTGTGTTACATATATTGTCAGTGTTTAATATTTTTAAAGTTTTTAAAAACATGGCAGTGTTGTGGGGATTAAAAGGGAGTGTTGTTTGAATGTGCATAGTATTATAGATTTAGGATTATTGATATGTTTTAAGGGAATTTAAAATCAATCCAAAACATTGGCAGTAGAATGTACTAACTGCTATACATGAATGAACCTAGGAGAATGGTGTTTTGTGTATTCGTAGAAGATAATG